TATATATATATATATATATATATATATATTTTTTTTTTTTTTTTCCTGTACAGGAGTTTTCTGAATAAACATCATAAAAGAGAAAAACTTTTTTAGCGCATAGCCTGACAAGTAGTTTTAGGAAACACTTTCCATGAATTGTTCTGCTAGCCAAATTATGATTGCAAAGAATTTGCTGTTAAAGTGGAGGGGATGGATCTAAAAAGAAATGCCTGCATAGTTTGGTAGATGAGAGTTATACTAATGATTTAAGCAATCAAATCTATTCCTATGTAGACATTTCCAGGGCTGAAAACAAGAGTTGCCACAACTGGGGCAAACTTAAAAGAATCAGCTGCTCTCTTGGGATGAAAAAGTCAGCAAGACATCTGAGTTAAAAGTAAAATAAGAGGTCAACTTGAAGAAGTCAACTCATTTCCATTTAGCATTCTCAGGGATATTTTTTTCTTTTTTTTTTTTTTTTTTAGTAAGTGCCATCTTTATTTAAGATGGATTTAATTTAAAACTACATTTGAGCCAAATGTATCGGAATATTTAGGTGTTTAGGATAATCCCTTTTCAACACACCTTAGACTGGAGGATTCACTTAGCACTGGAAAGTCATCACAGCATAATCGCTGGGGTTGAATGGTAGTGATCAAGAGACGCACAAAAACCAGACTTCAATGGGCAACGAATGTGGTATGCCACACCAGATAGCGACAAATAAAATAAGGTACCTTCATCCTAAAAAAGGTGATACTTGTCAGCAGGTCAACAGTTGATTTCAGGTCTTGTAGCCGTTCAGCATTGCTGGCAGGAAAGTTTTCCTGGTTCATTAAGAAAGAGAAAATGGGTAAATCATCAGCCTTAAGACCTTGTGATGGGAAAACAAACTAAAACCAACTTTCTGGGGAAGAAATGGGAAGTGAATTGTGTAAAAATTATAAAAATGTACCTGTGTTACTCGGAAAATATTCTATCATAAAACATAAAGAGTAAACAATTTGGAAATATTCTCTTCTTAGTCTTAGAAAACCACATCCTTCTATTTATTTCCATGGTGCAAAAAAAAATACAAAATAGTATCATTCATGCTGTGTTATCATTAATCTTGTTCATATCATAGTTTTATATTCATATAATAGTTTTGCTACTAGAAGTGGAGGGGACGGCATGTAGTTGGAAACATTTTTTATAATTTTCTGAAGACAGGCAAATTTTTCCAAAAATACCTTGGGAATTTTACATGTGCTGCATTTACCTTGAGTCACAAAGAAACTTTTAAAAGCTAAAAGAAAAATCAGAACACATGGCAGTGTCTTTCCTGGAAGTACTATGGGTTTCAACAAGTTGATTAATGTGATCTGGTGGAGATGTGATACAAAAATAAAAATGTTCAATTTCACCCCAAAGCAACAGAATACACATTCTTCTCTAGTGCACGTGGAACATTCTCCAGAATAGATCACATCCTCGGTCCTAAATCAGGTCTCAACCAGTATCAAAAGATTGGGATCATTCCCTGCCTATTTTCAGACCACAATGCTCTGAAGCTAGAACTCAATCACAAGAGGAAATTTGGAAAGAACCCAAATACATGGAGACTAAACAGCATCCTTCTAAAGAATGAATGGGTCAACCAGGAAATTAAAGAAGAATTGAAAAAATTCATGGAAACAAATGATAATGAAAACACAATGGTTCAAAATCTGTGGGACACAGCAAAGGCAGTCCTGAGAGGAAAATATATAGTGGTACAAGCCTTCCTCAAGAAACAAGAAAGGTCTCAGGTGCACAACCTAACCCTACACCTAAAGGAGCTGGAGAAAGAACAAGAAAGAAACCCTAAACCCAGCAGGAGAAGAGAAATCATAAAGATCAGAGCAGAAATCAATGAAATAGAAACCAAAAAAACAATAGAACAAATCAACGAAACTAGGAGCTGGTTCTTTGAAAGAATTAATAAGATTGATAAACCCCTGGCCAGACTTCTCAAAAAGAAAAGAGAAAGGACCCAAATCAATAAAATCATGAATGAAAGAGGAGAGATCACAACTAACACCAAAGAAATACAGACAATTATAAGAACATACTATGAGCAACTCTACGCCAACAAATTTGACAATCTGGAAGAAATGGATGCATTCCTAGAGACATATAAACTACCACAACTGAACCAGGAAGAAATAGAAAGCCTGAACAGACCCATAACCAGTAAGGAGATTGAAACAGTCATCAAAAATCTCCAAACAAACAAAAGCCCAGGGCCAGACGGCTTCCTGGGGGAATTCTACCAAACATTTAAAGAAGAACTAATTCCTATTCTCCTGAAACTGTTCCAAAAAATAGAAATGGAAGGAAAACTTCCAAACTCATTTTATGAAGCATCACCTTGATCCCAAAACCAGACAAGGATCTCATCAAAAAAGAGAACTACAGACCAATATCCTTGATGAACACAGATGCAAAAATTCTCACCAAAATACTAGCCAATAGGATTCAACAGTACATTAAAAGGATTATTCACCACGACCAAGTGGGATTTATTCCAGGGCTGCAAGGTTGGTTCAACATCCGCAAATCAATCAATGTGATACAACACATTAATAAAAGAAAGAACAAGAACCATATGATACTCTCCATAGATGCTGAAAAAGCATTTGACAAAGTACAGCATCCCTTCCTGATCAAAACTCTTCAAAGTGTAGGGATAGATGGCACATACCTCAATATTATCAAAGCCATCTATGAAAAACCCACCGCAAATATCATTCTCAATGGAGAAAAAACTGAAAGCTTTTCCGCTAAGGCAGGGATGTCCGTTATCACCACTGTTATTCAACATAGTACTCGAAGTCCTAGCCTCAGCAATCAGACAACAAAAGGAAATTAAAGGCATCCAAATTGGCAAAGAAGAAGTCAAACTATCACTCTTCGCAGATGATATGATACTATATGTGGAAAACCCAAAAGACTCCACTCCAAAACTGCTAGAACTTGTACAGGAATTCAGTAAAGTGTCAGGATATAAAATCAATGCACAGAAATCAGTTGCATTTCTCTACTCCAACAACAAGACAGAAGAAAGAGAAATTAAGGAGTCAATCCCATTTACAATTGCACCCAAAACTATAAGATACCTAGGAATAAACCTAACCAAAGAGACTAAGAATCTATACACAGAAAACTATAAAGTACTCATGAAAGAAATTGAGGAAGACACAAAGAAATGGAAAAATGTTCCATGTTCCGGGATTGGAAGAATAAATATTGTGAAAATGTCTATGCTACCTAAAGCAATCTACACATTTAATGCAATTCCTATTAAAGTACCATCCATTTTTTTCAAAGAAATGGAACAAATAATCCTCAAATTTATATGGAACCAGAAAAGACCTTGAATAGCCAAAGCAATATTGAAAAAGAAAGCCAAAGTTGGTGGCATCACAATTCCGGACTTCAAGCTCTATTACAAAGCTGTCATCATCAAGACAGCATGGTACTGGCACAAAAACAGACACATAGATCAATGGAACAGAATAGAGAGCCCAGAAATAGACCCTCAACTCTATGGTCAACTAATCTTCGACAAAGCAGGAAAGAATGTCCAATGGAAAAAAGACAGCCTCTTCAATAAATGGTGTTGGGAAAATTGGACAGCCACATGCAGAAAAATGAAATTGGATCATTTCCTTACACCACACACGAAAATAGACTCAAAATGGATCAAGGACCTCAATGTGAGAAAGGAATCCATCAACATCCTTGAGGAGAACACAGGCAGCAACCTCTTCGACCTCAGCCACAGCAACATCTTCCTAGGAACATCGCCAAAGGCAAGGGAAGCAAGGGCAAAAATGAACTATTGGGATTTTATCAAGATCAAAAGCTTTTGCAGAGCAAAGGAAACAGTTAACAAAACCAAAAGACAACTGACAGAATGGGAGAAGATATTTGCAAATGACATATCAGATAAAGGGCTAGTGTCCAAAATCTATAAAGAACTTAGCAAATTCAACACCCAAAGAACAAATAATCCAATCAAGAAATGGGCAGAAGACATGAACAGACATTTCTGAAATGAAGACATCCAGATGGCCAACAGACACATGAAAAAGTGCTCCATATCACTCGGCATCAGGGAAATACAAATCAAAACCACAATGAGATATCACCTCACACCAGTCAGAATGGCTAAAATTAACAAGTCAGGAAATGACAGATGCTGGTGAGGATGCGGAGAAAGGGGAACCCTCCTACACTGTTGGTGGGAATGCAAGCTGGTGCAACCACTCTGGAAAACAGCATGGAGGTTCCTCAAAATGTTGAAAATAGAACTACCCTATGACCCAGCAATTGCACTACTGGGTATTTACCCTAAAGATACAAACGTAGTGATCCGAAGGGGCACGTGCTCCCGAATGTTTATAGCAGCAATGTCTACAATAGCCAAATTATGGAAAGAACCTAGATGTCCATCAACAGACGAATGGATAAAGAAGAGGTGGTATATATACACAATGGAATACTATGCAGCCATCAAAAGAAATGAAATCTTGCCATTTGCGACAACGTGGATGGAACTAGGGTATCATGCTTAGCGAAATAAGTCAATCGGAGAAAGACAACTATCATATGATCTCCCTGATATGAGGGAGAGGAGATGCAACATGGTGGGTTAAGGGGGTAGGAGAAGAGTAAATGAAACAAGATGGGATTGGGAGGGAGACAAACCATAAGTGACTCAATCTCACAAAACAAACAGGGTTGATGAGGGGAGGGTAGTTGGGGGGGTGGGGTTAATGACATTGGGGAGGGTATGTGCTATGATGAGTGCTGTGAAGTGTGTAAACCTGGCGATTCACAGACCTGTACCCCTGGGGATAAAAATATATTATATGTTTATAAAAAATAAAATTAAAAAAAAGTTAAAAAAAAATGTTCAGAGCTTTGATGTAGAGGGAAGGTATAATTATGAAAATGTTTGATCTAAAGAACAATTTTCGCATTCAGAAATTTCTCATTTTAACATGCTTTCAGATTGGCTTTTTAAAGAGCGATCAGAGGGTGCCTGGGTGACTCAGTTGGTTAGGCGACTGCCTTTGGCTCAGGTCATGATCCTGGAGTCCCGGAATCGAGCCCCTCATCAGGCTTCCTGCGACCTTCTCCCCCACTCTCATGCTCTTTCTCTCTCTCTCTCAAATTAAAAAAAAAAAAAAAAAAGTTTCATAAGTAAATAAATAATAAATAAATAGCGATCAGAAAAACCACAGGTAATTTTTAGATATTCATGAAGTCACACAGAGTTAGTGTCCAAATGATGACAAATGAGGTGGCCTCCAGGCCCTTTTGGCCCCCAAATACCTTTTTAATTGCCTGCATAGCAGTTGTCTTCTACTAGTATTGGCCCCAGTTCCAACAGGAAGGGTGAATTTGACAAAATGTAGTTTTATAATTTCCAGAAATATGCAATTAAGATACCCATCCATCATGAACTAAAACATGAATGCAGAAGGTCTACATCGTGCAGATATGGAATTAGGTTTAAAATACATTATTAAATAAAGAATACAACTGTTATTACTACAGTTTTTTCTGTAAATAAAATTGATAACTAAATGTTTTATGACTAAGTTTTTTCATAACATCATATGTATATTTACACACACATACATGAATATATTTTTTGTGTGTGTATTTGTGTGTGTTTCACCTGGAGGTGAAATGTAGAAGAGTTGACAAGAACTCTGGACAGCTTCAAAAGAGCACATTGTACTGATCTAGGAAGAGTAAATTAAGCAATGAGTCTAAGAGGCATCTTAAAAGCTGGGGAAATAGTAGCAGGATATCTTCATTAACAAGGGGTGAGCTTTTAGGACGAGGACTCTGCCACATGTCTACCTTGTGGATTAGCTGCCCCTCAATCTGATAGCTATTATAATAATTATAAAAGTAAAATTACATACACACGTTACTATTGTAGGCTTATGTGGGGCAAGGTCCCTGAACAAGAGACACCAGCTTGCTTACTTAGGGGCTTAGCTGTCCAGTGTGACAGAACCTGAGATCCCAACACCAGTATTTTTACTTTTTCACTACACAGTGCATGATTTTTCACAGTACGACAAGAAAGCATCTCAGCCAAACATGACATTTTACCTTCAGGCAGATAATTTTGTACGTACCCTATACTTTGACAGGTCAATCCTTAAAGAGTTATGCAATTGGTCCAGTAGTTTTATGAATTTTTCCCTCTGTACAAAGCAAACACAAAAGAGGAGAATGGAAATAAAGGGTCATTCTAAACGCAGTCCTCACAACAACTCTGAGTTACTGTCCTCCTTCTACAGAAAGGAGGGTTCAAAGATGTCAATGATTATCTGAGTTGATAGCGCGGCTATGTGACAAAACAATGCTTCAAATGCAGACCTCTTTCACACCAAATCCAGGCTCTTGCCAATAAGCCACAGGGCCTCTCTGTGATGAATAAGAAAGTATCCAGAAAGTCGTGTACTTCAGAAAGAGTCCAGACAACTGAATCGCCACTGTACTAATTCACAATACTATGAGTCAGCAAGAAAAACACACTTCCTCTCCCCACACACCACTCCAGAAAGAAATGATTGTTTTTTAAATTTCTCCTAACTATTGAAGTGAGATAGCTATTGTTCTCATCAAGAACAATTTCAAAAAGCATTTTCCTTTTGGTGACAAGTATAGACCTCATAATCTGAAAGTATCGATCACCTTTAAAGTATGTTTATGATTTAGTGTTTTTTTAAAAAAAAGCACAAAATATATCAAGCCTCCCTCTGAGGCAGTTGAACTGACCTCATCATAGGATGTGAAGATAAGAATAGCGAGTCTGCTTATAAGGATGAAGTTGTGTTGATTAATTAAAGTAAATAAGTTAGATAAGGTAAAAACATCAAAATCACACAAACTTTATAGGATAGACAATCCCCCATTCTAAGTCTTAGACATCTAATCAAAAATGAAAAAAAAAATATGGGAGTGTAAGTAACATTAAATGTCTCAGCCTACATTACTATTCTGTAAATAACAAACTGCATTTTGGAAGAAGTAGAAACTTTCCTAATACTTTCACATATGAGGTGGATTTATGGGGTTATAACTCTTCCCTTGAAGTCACCGATTTTGATGAAGTGAGCTGAATATTAACAGGAGTTGATGAATCATTCTTAAGTTGAAACTCCAATTTTCTGAATAACTGCCTTAATCAGGTTTATCTATCAGGCAATAAAGCTTGATATCGCCTCTGTGTTAACCCCCTGTGGAGGCAATGAAGGAGTCTAAGAAATGAACCTTGCCTTCAACTTGCTTGCCATCTTGTTAGGCAGAGAAGACTCTCCGGTAAAACTCTCCATGAAACATACAGATGAGTCAAAGGTCTTAGGTATTTCTTTCCTACTCTTCATCATACCTTTCCAAGGGAAGAGGTGAACTATACTGTCCTTTTATTAACCCCCATCCCGCAACCACCTGGATCAGTAGCTCTCAATAAAAATAGAAAAATGGAAGAGCCATGACCATCACCAGTTTAGGCCACAGCAAAGTTAATCATTCAATGATTATAAAAGTTAACGTGCTCATGTCATGCCTTGGGATGCTTGATCTGACCTCTGTGGGTGGTACAAATCATCAGGACAGGTGACAGGACTCTAGTCATCCGTGCTAATGCCCAAATCATTGGGCCTCTTACTTCCACTGGGACTCACTGTTCTGGTTGTCTGCTTGATATCCATTTTTTCATTCTTCCTTACTAAGAGAACCTCATGACATTGTGAGTCATATGTGTCCATTATGAAATACCTACCTTCCCCGACCTCTTTTCCTCTAGCAATGGCCATGCAGTAGGATTTTGGCTAATGAGATACATATAGTTTATTAAACAGGATGGACTCGGCTAGCATATTGCCAATGAATTATTATTTTAAAGGATTCTAGAAGAGTTTGGCAAACACTATCATATTGGTGTCTGCTATATAATTCTTTATCGGGCTGTTCTCCATCTGCCGTGGATTTCTTTCCTTCCCCCATATGAAACTCAGACTAGGCACAAGAAGGCATAACAGATGTGGGACCACCAGATGAAAAGCTAAACAAGAGATTAGGCCTGGTGGAGCAGGAAGCTGAGAGCCCTCGCTCCGCCCCTTAGCCCTGTCTGCCCACCCTTCCAAAAAATGACAATCCTGAGCAGCTACACTATCCCTGAATTCCTTACTACCTTTGGACTTGGGTTCCATGGGGGAAAAAATCTTATTAAGTCTGTTCAGTTGAGTTTGTTTCATGCAGCCGAACAGAACGGTGACTGATATAGACGTGTGGTCTTCTTACCCAAGTCTTCCGCGCCCAGCTGGAAATTTTACATTCAAGGAACACAGAAATGTGGAGAAAACTGCCAGGCTTGTTGTCTCTAAATCCCAGACAATATCAGATGATGGGAAATTAAAAGTATGCTACTGACTGAATTTTCATAGAGATTCTTTAAACAGCAGGACAGCTTGAAATTTAATTTTATTTATCACTTTTCGATTTAAGTAGAGATTGCCTTTGCAAGAACTGAGGAGGCCTATTTCCTGCATGGTGCAACTAGAGGAATAACAAAAGGCTGGGTGATTAGGAAATGATTCTCCCGAGGGACATGCCCACGACATCAAAAACCGTCCTGTCGCCCTGTTTTTCCTGCCGGGGAAGGTCTACACAGGCCTGGGATTTGGTAGTGACCACATTAATCAAAACACTGCTATCAGTTATCAAAAACTTATGTTTCATTAGTTGATAAGAATAACTTTAGGGACGCCTGGGCAGCTTACTCGGTTAAGCATGTGCCTTTGGCCCAGGTCATGATCCTGGGATCCTGAGATCGAGTACCACATCGGGCTCCCTGCTCAGGGGGGAGTCTGCTTCTCCCTGCCTATGCTCTCTATCTCTGTCTCTTGCTTTCAAATAAATAAAATGAATTTAAAAATCTTAAAAAAATAAAAATAAAAAAAATTAAATTTAAATTAAAAAAAAAAAAAAAAAGAAATACCTCTAGGCCAGGGGTCAAAAAACTGTCTGGAAAGAGCCAGGTGGTAAGTTTTTTCAGCTTTGTTGCCAGTCGCAACTATTAAACTCTGCCACTGTAACATAGTAGCTCCCAGAGACCATATATAAACTAAGGGGCATGGTTGGTCTCCCATAAAGTTTTGTTTCTTGGACAGTGAAATTTGAATTTCATGTAATTCTCATGTGTTGTAAAATGGTAGTCTTCTTGATATTTTTTAACCCTTTAAAATGTGGAAATTATTATTATCTCCATATGAAACAGCTGGTGGGCTGATTTTGGCCCAAGAGGACAGGAGGGATTTTGAGTAGGGGGGAAGGCATTGTTACCCCACAAGTGCATTCAAATCAACATGAAATGTCAACATGTTGCCCTCAGATCCTGGGAACTGGAGAAGGGAAAGTCTTCATAAGGAAGGTGTGTAAACACCTCTGCATCAACCTCAGCTTCTCTCTTCCATTTCTTTGTTTCTCAGTATCTCAATCCAGAAGCAGGGGTGGATTTCACTTGAAACTGATGCTGCTTCAGTGTTGGGGGCCCTCACTGACTTCAGCTTCCCTGAGAAGATCCCTAGCTAGGTGTTCACATGACCTCAGGTTTCCGTAAACTTTGGAAAAAGTAGGATAAGAAGTATTCTGACGTGGACCAGCTAATTGGAAGAACTTTTTTTTCTAGATCATATCAAAAGCAGTAATTCGTTAAGAAGAACAAAACATTTCAAGTAGAAATTTTTTGATAATTTTTTGATAATTTAGTTAATCATGGGAACATATGGAAAATAGGTTTACATTTCTTACTGATTTGAGATTAATACTGCTATCAACAGATACCATAAAACTATAAAATGTCACTACATGATGGCATCAGTGACAGACTAATAAATGTGATCGATTCAAAGAGTATTTAAGGAGTCACTTCATAGGCACTGGGAAAGCCCTGAGACGGTGCTCCTCATGGACCTAGAGAGCCCCAACATCTCCCTCTCTGACTAAACTTTAGACAGGTTTCTTCCTGACTCTAGGCCCTGATCTCTCTCTCTCTCTTTTAGAGCATTCTCTATAAAAAACTTACAATTGTAAATTCTTTCTCTGCTCCTTTGAAATGTAAATCTTTTTAAAAGCCTCTAGCTAAGGGATAGTATCTGCAACTCCCAGCCTCTGTGGGGAGAGTAGGAGACTAATTTTGGTAGGTACCAAGTAGCAAACACAAACAGCCTCATCACAGAAAAAGACACTTGCACACCCAAGAATATGTTAATGAGCTGGACACATGCCACTGATCAAACTTCCCCTCAATATCTTCAGGTATTTTTTTCTCCAGCTTATTCCAGCTCTTAAAAACTCTATCTTTTGTTTTAGTATAGCTAAGTTCAGAGGGAGCCCTAGCCTCTCCCGCTAGGGCAATAAATTGCCTCAGATTGTTTTCATTGCCTGTTTAACTCTCTCAGGCACAATTTTTGCTTTGATATTACATATGAAAGAAACATAATAAATGTTTTCCCAAACTTGATCTAAGTCAATAAAATGTGTGTTGCATTATCAATGAATTTTGAAGTTAATAGAAACTTTCCTAAAAACATCAAATAAAAACGTTTGATCAGCTCAAAAAAAAAGAAAAAGTTTGATCAACTCTTGTAAAGACTGCATTATCTTTTTTTAATAAAAAATTATATTGCAGGATTTTCATTATATGAAGAAGTGATCAAAGAATTTGCCCTCAAAAACTCTAGAAAAACTTTTAAAGAGATGTATCAGGAAGTTAATGAAAATATCATGTTGTTTTTCTGGAATTTGTAATGTTTGTGGTATCCCACTATAGTGATTTAAAATTCATCAGGATTCATTTTTTATTAGAAATGAATATTACTTTTCTATTGACAATGTGTATTCTTCTGAAAAAGAGTCTCATCAAATTACATAAGGTTTAGGCAGTACAAAACTTAGATCCACCTTTGTGCACATCAGCCCTATCGCTACTTTCCATCTTGTCCTCCTATATTCAATACCGGAGCTGGTTTAATCATTCCTCCTTCCTCAGTGTGGCTTTCTGGAGTTCTGAGACTAGAAAACTCAGCACCATATTTGCCAAACTCCTTTGCAAATGTATGCAATTATGTTAGTTTCTGCCTTCTAGACGCATGTGTACTCTACATTTGTAAAGTAGACAGGAAGAGATGGAGGCCCA